ACGCCGATTGACTCGCGCGACCCAGAATCGCGAATCGCGAGTCGATCTCCCAGGGGGATCGGCGGATAATTTACGCGGGTTAGTAATTAAATTTAATGGCGCTCGTCGGAGCCTCCCGAGGGGCGCGTTTACGCGGGAATGCCGCGTTTCCCACAATTCCCGTCGACCCTGTGGTCCCATGAGGCCGGGGGGATGCGAGGGACCAATCGCGGCCACCCTTTGGCGGGTCCACTTTCCCCTGGGCCGCGCTACCGGAAAGCGGCGCCACCGCGGAGCTTATACAAGAGGTTTGTTCATTTTGCCTACACTTTCTACACTTTTACGAAAAGTGTACACTTTGACGTCGCTGTTCGTTTTGCGAGGGAATCTACCCCGAGGGTACACTTTTTCTACACTTTCTACCCTCGATCCCGAGCGAGGGCAAGAAAGGTAGCCCGGGAATTTGGCGGCAAATTTCAAAATTGAAAAGACCAACAAACAGGATAATACAAAATGTATGCTAACGTCTCAACGTAATATAAACAGAAGTAATTATTAATGCATCTTCTTTATGTATAGAACGATTTAGCGTTTTAGTTTTGTACGTAATGTTTGAAACAATTTACAATAATTATGTATTACTACGTAACCGCGGTTGGATTGAACTAAACTATAATTTTTCATCGTTGTAGTTAAATTGTTCTTCATTCTCCTGCAATAATATTCTGACCCTTATTGATCCTCGATACCTGAAATTCGGGAAAGGAATTTTCATCTTCTAGAATGACAAGGTAATAGAACGAATTGGAGGATTTGAAAAAAACGAAGACAGCCCAAGAAGGAAGGCTGGAGGAAGCATTACATTTTCGTATTCATCATCGTCCGATACGGATAACCTCAAAATCGCGTACCGTTCCACTAAATCGGTCATCTTGGACTTTCGTGAGGTTGCTGGCGTTCAGGACGTATTTACAAAACGTACGATATTCGTTAAATATATAGAAAATATAGGACAAATATTTTGTGCTACTAGGGAAGTTCTTCCTTCTACACGGGCCTTTGATAGCCCAATGGTTACGATCATCGCTCGTACCGCATAGTCTCTCGGGTTCGAATCCCTCTCAGGAGAGATTTTTCGGTGTCTAAGGCAGGGTCTGTCTGATAGCCTTGCTGATGAGTTCACACAGGCAGACCCGGGACTAAACACAACGATAATGGGTACCACCATCTCCATGCCTACAAACCCAAAGGATCAATCGAGGACGATCCAAGAACCAAAATGTTACAGTAATCTGGCACACTTGTGCCGTAAGAACTTTCGTCAGCGTTTAGAGAGCAAAGGTACCTCACTGTCTAACCTCCCCTTGCATTCCCACCCTTATCCACGTGTCTTCCTTTTCCGTAAGCTCCATAGGCACCACCGATACCAGTTGTCGCCGATAAGCCAAGAGCGACGCGTGGAACTCGAGAAAGAGGCTGATACGGGAAGCCTTCTCGATAATTTCCACGTGGAAATTATCGAGTAGGCTCTTCACGGAAATCCATTTTTCTCTCCCACTCGAGAGGAAAACTCACCGCTCGCGATAACCCTGGTTGTCCTTTATCTCTTATTGTTAGAGACGGGGGAATTCTTTTTCTGACGCCGACTATAGACGACATGGGCAAAGGCGTAATTAGTAATCGCGATTATGGTCGGCGGGAATCTAATTATTAATTGGTACATTATGCCGGTAATTACTTAATTTAAGAATATTGGTAGGTAATTCATTTAACGTACTGTCCCTAGTAGCATAAAATAATTTCTAAATATTTCTTTGTAATCTTTGCTGAATATCTCAAGCGACAGATTTTTTAAGATTTCTTGTAGATTTCATTTGAAGATACCTGAAATATTTGTTGAAAATCTCAATTCAACTCCGCTCCGTCACCGCGGAATTGAATTACTGCCGAACGACGATATATCGTCTTGCAAAGAGTGCCAACGACTTCGGGTGACACTAAAAGGGTTAAAATACCGTTCCAAGCGGAAAATGTTGAAAGAAAATGGTCGGATCTCTTAATCTCGATTTTTTGATTTCGGCAATTTCCCGGGCGAGCGAAGCTCCGTCACCGCGGAATTGAATATCTCGTCGAAAAACGGTAGGGCGGATTGATTCGGGATGACGAAGGTTTAATTCGCGGGCCGGAATAGGTGCGGAGCGACTTTGGCTCGATTCTACTCGGACTCGGTGTCCGTTTCCCGTTTAGGTCCCGAATGAAACTCGGTACATAGAAAGTGCATTTACCGGGACCGAGCCTAACGATGACGGATGAGTCGCGGTATCGCGGGTACACGGCTCGCGGATATCTCCGCGGGGCCGTTATCCGCAATCCGCAATCCGCAGGGCGCGAGCCGCGCGGCGCCATCGCCGAACCATTCGTTCAAATCAAGAACTCGAATTCGGCTTTCGTCCTCCTGTTTTAGGCAGAGCTCGCGAAAAATCTCTCTTATATCCTGGGATTTCCCTCGTGACGAGTTTCACCACTTTCAGGGCCTAGGCTCTAAATTGGTGATTTTTAAGATGATACGATAGGCGCTGAGAAATTTAATCGAGGTCAATGAAATGAAATTCATCTATATCCTTTTTTATGGTAATACCATTCCGAATATTTAAGTATTGGGTTAGCACTTGATTGCGGAGTTTTAAATTCCATCTATCCACAAAATCCGCATTTACTTGCCAACGCAATAGTTTCATAAGCTGGCGCGTCACGTTACCGACATTTATATTTATGTTTAAGACTTTTACAGCCTACGTTGAGAATTATACGAACTGATGCGTTCTATTTGTCATTTCGGCAAAATAATGATAAGAAGATCAATGTAATAGTCTGAATCCCGTGAATTTATTATTCTAACGACGTTTAGGCTCGCAGAGCTCGCGAAAAATCCCTATTATTCCTTGGGATTTCCCTCGTGGCGGATTTCACCACTTTCAGGGCCTAGGCTCTAAATTGGTGATTTTTAAGATGATACGAAAGACACTGAGAAATTCAATCGAGGTCAATGAAATGAAATTCATCCGTATCCTTTTTGATGGTAATGCCATTCCGAATACTTAAGTATTGGATTGGCATTTGATTGCGGATTTTTTAATTCCATCTATCGACAAAATCCGCATTTAGTTGCCAATCCAATAGTAACATAAGCTGGCGCGTCCCGTTACCGACATTTATATTTATGTTGGTCTTTCACAGTCTACATTGAGAATTATACGAACTGATGCGTTCTATTTGTCATTTCGGCAAAATAATGATAAAAAGATCAATGTAATAGTGTCTAAATCCCGTGAATTCATTATTCTAACGACGTTTAGGCTCGCAGAGCTCGCGAAAAATTCCTCTTATTCCTTGGGATTTCCCTCGTGACGGATTTCACCACTTTCAGGGCCTAGGCTCTAAATTGGTGATTTTTAAGATGATACGAAAGACGTTCAGAAATTTAATCGAGGTCAATGAAATGAAATTCATTTATATCCTTTTTCATGGTAATGCCATTCCGAATATTTAAGTATTGGGTTAGCACCTGATGGCGGATTTTTTAATTGCACCTATCAGCATAATCCGCATTTCGTTGCCAACCCAGTAGTAACATAAGCTGGCGCGTCCCGTTACCGACATTTATATTTATGTTGGTCCTTCACAGTCTACGTTGAGAATTATACGAACTGATGCGTTCTATTTGTCATTTCGGCAAAATAATGATAAAAAGATCAATGTAATAGTGTCTAAATCCCGTGAATTCATCATTCTAACAACGTTTAGGCTCGCAGAGCTCGCGAAAAATCTCTCTTATATCCTGGAATTTCCCTCGTGACATGTTTAGTACAATACTTAATATTTAGAAAAAGCTTTTTTACCGACGTCTATCAAGTTCCTCGACGTGTTTCACTTCACCTAAAATCGTGTTACGGCATATTTTACATAAATTTTGCGGCTTAGTCCTACCGATTTTTTTATCGATTTCATTATAATTATCGAACAAAAACGACAGATAGAGTACGCCATTTAGTACAATACCCAATATAATTTCACACAACTGTCAATATGAAAACGAACGTCGGCAACACAGGTATTCAGAAAGATCTTCTTTACTAACGTCGATCATGTTCCTCGACGTGTTTCACTTCACCTTAAGAACCACTGCTCTAAAAAGATTTTCTGCTGATTCCTTAGAAGTGGATCAATTGCCGAATGGATAAAAGTGCTCGCGGTATACGTATGTGACTCAGCTGAAAAGATTATGGAAAGCGATTTAAACTTATTCTTCCGTGAGATAGTCATCGATTGCCCTCGTGCAACCCAAATCCTGAGTGCGCCCCAAGATACGTAGAGAATAGGCCAAAGAGATAAAAGTGTACGAATGGATAATGGCCCCGAAATCGAACGATCTCGCGGTCACTCGTATAGACTTTATGGATGGGGATTTTATGATCGAAGTTTCCCTGAGCCATCATCACCACTCCGGAATGAAAGATTAGCTGTCCAGATTCTGGCAAAGAGACTGACACGAACTTTGCCTTGTTTCCGCCATTCCTAGAGAAAGATAGATAGATTTAATTGCAGGCCCTCGGCAAACTTTTTGAAGGGATTTCTCTACTCCGTTTAAATGTTTTAGCGCAAAGGATCATAAGACACTTTTTTATTCCTTGTTTGAGTACTCGATTGATAGCGTTACGTTTTTTGCAACGAAGTCTTCAAGAATCGTATAACGATCGAAATATGAGAGCACCACGCGGTTTTGGCGCAGGTCTAGGCTAAATCTAGAAATTGCTTTTTGAAAATTAAAATCTCTAAAGTGGCCAGGAACACTTCTAAGGTGCTTACAAGTCTCGCGCCGAAATTTCAGCGAATTCGGTGGAACGCCCTTCTAGAAAAGTGTTTTATTCGGGTCGACCTTTTCGAGGTGGGTTTCCCGAAAATGTGCCAATAAATGTCCCACCAAATGTGCGCGATTGACTCTTCCTTTCCATTTGTTTCAGTAGTGGCTAGCTGCAGAGGGGATGATTGCGGACACGACGATCTCAGCGCGTGCGCGAATCCCATCCGCAAGATCACCAACACCAACGACTTTGGTACGATCACTACCAAGCAAGAACTGGAGCAGCTTTGCGGGTGAGTACTAGGGACGTAGCGAGTCGAATACTTACTTTACTACCTCGAGTTACTCGAATTTGCATTGCCAACTCGAGTTTGGATTCGAATCGATAACTCGGTGCCGCGTACGTTCGACGAGACGAGTAGAATCCATGGTGAGTAAAACGACTCAGTCGAAGAGATATAACGAGTCAAGCACTTCGTCGACTCGAGTTACTCAAATTTCAAAACATTGCCAATTCGAATTTGAACTCGAGTCGATAACTCGATGCTGCGTACATTCGACGTGGCGAGGAGAGTCCATGACGAGTTGGTGAGTCAAATGACTCAATTTACCAGCGACTCGAGTTAAAGCGAGTACTTCCTCGGCTCGAGTTCCTCGAAGGTTGACGACTCGAATCGACGACTGGATGTCGCATAAATTCGGCGCGACGAGTCGAGTCAATGGCGAGTTGAATAGAAAGACAATCCCTTTAATGATCACTCGAATAAACAAATAAGGCGCGATTGATATCCCGGGACAAGTACCTCGGTCTCACTCCTCCCCTCGTAACTCGCGTTCGTTTGTACCAATAACTCGAGTTACAAAAAAAGTGACTCGAGTCGACTGGAATACACGTTTGACTCGTCTCGTCACATCACTGAGGAGTACGCGAGAACGATCGGCGAACCTCCCTTCTCGGGAATCCTCAAAAGAAGGAACACTCCAAGGGGACGGGAAATAAAGAGAAACGGAAAAACGTCGCCTTAATTAAGACCCCACCTCCCCGGGTGACCCCGACGGCTGCTCGTCCACGTCGGGCTCATCCCAGAGGAGGGCGAATATTCAAGGGATCGTCCCTCCAAGGAAATGCGATTACCAGCTACGGGGGAGCTCACCTTCTGACGAGCTTTTCGAACGGCGGCCACCCTCCCACCCTTTAACCCATTATGTTCACTTTCCCCCGGCAACGCGAACCACGGAGACGAACTAGGGAGATCGACGGTATACTAGGTTTTACGAGTCGCGGGTTTGTCATTGTGGACGGTAGCTAATGAGCAGCCATTCGAGCCGTAGGACTCGAGACTCTGTACCCCGTCGAGACTCTCCCGAGGGGGAACATTTGACATATTTAATATCGAGAAGGGGATAATACAGAGGGAGGAACGTTGCGGATGGCGAGCCGCGTTGCGTCTGCGTCCTTTGTTCCCAGAACGGAAATTTCCTCTCTCTCTTCGGCCCAGTTTCTTTCGGGCCAATTATTCAAGATCTGGACCGTGAGTCTGCTCGAGTTACGGGTTCCTGTGTTTCGCTTATCGGATTTGCGGTGAATTAAATGGAATGCCGCGTACGCCGTCGAGGGTTCAAAAGGAACGTCTCTGCCAAGTGAACTCGTTGATGTTGCGGTGTTCTCTATATTTTTCAAAACCGGGGCCACTCAGAGGCCGTCTTGTATCTTCAAATACGAGGATATATAAATTCGAGAGATCCTTTGGTAACTCAGAGAATCGCGCGTCTTCCGGGGATGTTGGAAAAGGGAACGGTCTCTTTTGTTTCCGTTTGTCGAAAGACGTGGTAGCGTCTGCCACGTCATCCATATTCGGGTGACATACCAGTCAAATAAAATGCGCGTGGCAGTCAATGTGTTAAGGTGGAGTGGAACCCCCCTCGAATCGGTCGATTCGAATAAGGCACGAATAAGAACGGTCTCTTTTGTTTCCGTTTGTTGAAAGACGTGGTAGTGTCTTTGACATGTTCATGGCCTGAACCGAACGCTACGGCTCTCTTTTTCTCGATACGTCGCTTTAACACGATGACTGCCACGTCACCCATATTCGGGCGACATACCAGTCAAATAAAATGCGCGTGGCAGTCAACGTGTTAAGGTGAACTGGAACCCCCCTCCAATCAGTCGATTCGAATAAGACAAAGTGTCTTTTGAGAGTATTGGACCGAACTGCCCCAAAATTTTGACACATGACTGGTGGGTACTTATGAAGTATCCAAATCGTACGCTACGGATTTCTTTTTCTCGGTACGTCGCTTTAAGGTGAACTGAAACCCCCTCAAATCAGTCGATTCGAATAAGACAAAGTGTCATTTGAGGGTATTGGGCCGAACTGCCTAATACTTTCACACATAATTGGTGGACACTTATGAATTATCCGAATCAAACGCTACGGATCTCTTTTTCTCGATACGTCGATTAAAGGTAAACTGAAATCCCCCTCAAATCAGTCGATTCGAATGACACTTTTTTAAGGGTATTGGACCGAACTGCCCCAAAATATGGACGCATGACTCGTGGGCACTTATGAATTGGCCTGTTGACCAAAGATATCTTTCGAGAAAGCCATCGAGGTCTCGTCGAGGTCTCATAGCGATCCCTACTCTCCTCCCCCCTTTAGAATGTCAAGAAAGTTTAGATAATCAAATTTCATGGGTGATATGACTTTCATGGGACATTATATTCACGTGATATCGTTACAGACGATTCAGACACCCAGTTTGGAGAAGAGTTTTGCAAATAATTTGACACCGGAGATACCACTCTCGTATCACCTTTAAACGATCTTCGGCGTGCGATTTCGGGTTCCCTTTGCCGAGGCCTGTCGACCGAGGATATCTTTCGAGGAGCTATCGAGGTGCCATAGAGGTCTCATCGAGGTCTCATAGCGATCCCCGGCTTTCCTGCCTCCTTTAGAATGTATCGAGTCGTCGAGGATCCACCACTTCCGGTGCTATCCGGAACTTTCCTGGAGAGTTTCCTCCTCCCCTTTCTCCCGCTCGTGCCGTGTCTCGCCCCGTCTCTAGACACGGCCTGGCAGCGGCTCCGAGCTCGAGAAGATCTCTCGGCCCAGCTTCCGGTTACAACTTTATTCGTCGTCTTATTATAGCCGAACCCCTTGGAACGCTGCTAAGTACATACACTCGCTAACTTCCCCACCGGGAGGGCTCTTCGCGCCGGCTGCCATCTATCGGGAAACCGACGAGGAACGATTTACTTAGAGACCAATTGTTCCGGCGCCGCCTTAAGGGAGGGTGGAACCGACCGAGGGAAATCACCAGCGGAAGATTCGCGCGATTTAAGGTGATAGGAAAGAGTCAGCCTATATATTATATCGGTTTCGTTCATAGCTTAAAAAATGCAGAAAAATCGTCCAATCTCGATGGTCTCGTTAATGTTAACTTTACTCATTCAAGAGGTTCAAAAAACGACATTCATTGTCCTATTTGATACGCCAGGCTGAACATCGCAGATAATGACTAGGTCCGAGTTTCTTAATCCGAGAAGTCAAATCGTTGGGGAAAGTATTACACGAATTGGGGGTACCGATTCCTTTCATATTTTACCACGGGAATGTGGAAGCCCTAAAGTAGGTCCTGAAATAGACAAAATTTCATTTTTTATAAAAAATTTTGGAAACATCTATAAACAAATTTTAAAAAAATCGAAACTTTATGGGCGTTAGGACTTTCTTCTTAGCTTCCATATTAACATTCTTAAGTTTAAAACGATCCGGTGAACTCAGTTCGGAGAGAAGTTTCATAATCGAGACCTCTTCACGCCACTTTCACATCGCCTTAATGGAGAAGAGAACCCGACTTAGGGAAATCCGCGGCGGAAAACTCGCGCGTTTTAATGAGCGCCCACCTACACGGCCGATATCTGTTAAATTAATGTCACTTGAGTATAGGCCGTGGTTTAATAAATGTAATTGACGATTGTATGCAAATCGACTCGTCCGGTCTCACAGGGACGTTACAACGAACTCGACTCCGGGGAAGTATCGACGATATCGATCATTAAATAAAGGTACCCCCCATAATTCGTAAATATTAAAAATCGATATCTGTAGCATTCCAAGCGGCTCATACACTGTTAAAAAAGATACTATATTTTTATAATATTTTTCTTGGAAGTTTTACTCATACTTGGTATACTAATTTTACAACATCTGTGCAAGAAATTTCTAAAATTCGTCATAAAATTAGTATATAAGTGTATTAATCATTTCCACGGAATTTGAGAAAGGTCTAACACGATGTCACCAAATTGTAAGCTCACTTCGAAATTCGAAGTATATGTATAGTCATTCACTTTTAGGGCATTAAATGTGTAATTGTACCACAACCCTATGTACTGATAGTGCATGAATTTTATGAATATTTCTAACAGTGTAGCATAAACGTAGGGTAATTCCGAAAGGGACGGACCTTTTCCAAAAAGCTCAGTTTCGATCTTTTTGTTTTTTTCACGTTAGAATATTCAGACGAGAGTACAATGGTCACAGGAATACGGCGCCATTTTGGATCTGATTTAGTATAAACGGAAAGAGATGTTTTATAAAGATCCACATTTTGAAAGTACCCGGACATACAATTAATGCTCACAATTCATGTGCTGAGATTTCAGACAATCCTGTGGAATACGCTTTAAAAATTGTGTTTTAATTGAATTGACAAGTTTGAGGCAGGATTCACCTACCCTTAAAGATCATTGTTCGCCCTATAAAAATCATTCATTGCCTTCCCTTTATAACCCAATCTACCCTTCTTCCGGTATTCTGAGTAGTTTTTCGACATCTCTCGAGATAAGTGCAAGGAAGTCGGAATTGGGAAGGAAATTACCGAGACGCTAATTCACTCGGTAAACTTACACGGCAGATAGTCGTTTACGAACGAACTTAACGCGTAATGCAGTTGCCGAGTGTTCTTCGTTCAATTTGGTTCCTGCTCCAGAAACATCGTCTATGAGCGTTGCTCCCGTTTCGGAAGTTCTCGGAGCAGAGGAGTGGGAATCTTTTTGTGGGGGTTATTTGTGCCCGTACTTGCGAAAGTGGTCGGAGTAAAAATACTAGAAAAAAAGGATCCATCCCATACATTGTATTGCATAGGTTTAAATGTACAGTAATGTGAAGTTAGTTAACAAAAAAAAGTATTTAAGCCACTTCCAAAATTTTTGGCACATTTTACGGGGAGAGTTACCCTTTCTTGCCCCTCTCTGGGCCCTTCTCTCCTCTTTCCCTCGACATCCGGAACTTCTTTCGCCACTTCCGGGATCATTTCTTCCGCCAACGGGTTTCGATATTTCAAACGCTCAATAATTGCAAAAATATTTTTTTCAGCGTTTAAGGTAGGGCTGCCTGTAAAATCGTCTTCGATCGTACCCGGCACATATGTCAAATTTGTTTGTTTGTAGAAAAATCGTTTAATATCAAGTCCTGACAAACACAAATTTATAATACATGAATATTACAAATTTATAATATATGAATATTATAAACTTATTACGCATATGTACCAAATTTGTAATACATGTTATACATTTTATTTGAAAATATGTTAGAAAATTAGTATACCATGTCGGAATAAAACCTCCAACAATGTATATAAAGCTTGAAATTTTATTGAGTTGTGCAAAAGTGGCAATTCCAGCTTTATATACATCATCCAAGAAAAATGTTATAAAACTACAATATTTTTTTTTAAAGTGTACCTCTTGAAAATCGGTATACAAAGAGCATCCGATTTTTTGTATACACGTCTTATGACAGTTGCACAGGTGCATACACGCCTTCCTACTCGATTTCTCAGGAATTCTCAGCATTCATTTCGATCACATATTCCGAAATTCAGAATACCTGTCCTCTGAAATTCGTATCCTTACAAACTAAAGTCCCGAAGACAAATGTACAGAAAAATCTGACAAATATTCTATCTCGAGGAAACTTCGTCTTCTTGTATATCGCATTTCAAACGGATACCTTTATCAGTTCGGGATTATTTCCCGAGAAGAGTTCCCTTTCTTGCCACTCTTTCTCTCTCTCTCCCTTTTCCCTCTTCTCTGCGCGTCCGGAAGCACTTTTACCCCTTCCGGGATCATTTCTTGCGCGAGCTTTCGCCAACTAGAAATCCCGATCGGACGAAAGAGCTGCCCCGAAGATTCCTATGCAGATGTCCGATCGGCAAATTGGATGGAATTTCGGAGAGCCTTGGCTCCCATGGATACCCTGTTAAAAAAATAGTGAATTTTATAACATTTTCTATGGAAGTTTTATTCATACATGGTATACTAATTTTATAACATAGTTTCAAATGAAATATATAACGCTTATTTAATTTAGTTCATACATATGAAATAAAATTATGAAGGATATTAGTAATTTTATGATATGTTCAAAAAAAATAGTGAATTTTATAACATTTTCTATGGAAGTTTTATTCATACATGGTATACTAATTTTATAACATAGTTTCCAATGAAATATATAACGCTTATTTATAAATTTAGTTCATACATATGAAATAAAATTATGAAGGATATTAGTAATTTTATGATATGTTCAAAAAATAGAGTGAATTTTATAACATTTTCGATGGAAGTTTTATTCATACATGGTATACTAATTTTATAACATAGTTTCAAATGAAATATATAACGCGTGTTATAAATTTAGTACACACGTATGTAATAAAATTATGAAGGATATTAGTAATTTTGTGATACATGTATCATAATTTCAGGACATTCGCATATACTAAAATTGAAAAAAAATAAATAATAATTTTATAGACACACTTGCATAATTATAAAATAGTATCGTAAAATTAAGAACTCATCTTAGAAAATTATAAATAATCTGTACTAAGCAACTGTCGAATATAAAATTTATAATTTTCCCGCACAATTTCACAAAATTATAACGTAATGCTAGAAAATTGTAAGTTCATTTAGAAGTTTGCAACAAATGTATATTAATTCACTTTAAAGCCATCAAATTTATAATTGTATTACAACCTTACGTAACTAAGAATGTAGGAATTTTATGAATTTTGTTTAACAGGACAGGCCAACCTAATTTCCAATTTTCCCGCCCCTTTGCCTCGATGTACTAAGTACCTTTCGAGTATAGAATTTATATATACTTTGTATACTAATTTTACAACATCTGTGCAAGAAATTTCTAAAATTCGTCATAAAATTAGTATATAAGTGTATTAATCATTTCCACGGAATTTGAGAAAGGTCTNTTATTTAGAAGTTTGCAACAAATGTATACTAATTCACTTTAAAGACGTCCAGTTTATAATTCTATTACAACCTTATGTACCAAAGGTGTATGAATGTTATGAATTTTTTTAACAGAGCAGGCCAACGTAATTCCCGAGTTTTCCGCCCCTCTGCCCGGGGTTGTTCCCCGTTCCGATGGGATCGCAAGGAAAATCGCGGGAAACGCCAATTGCTTTCCGCGCCCGAGGTTACTGCCACGACCTTTTAAGTTCTCGCCGCGAACGGAAAGGGTGAGGAAGGCGAAACCGAAGGCGAGGAAGGGGAGAGGGAAAAGGAATGGAATAGGTAAAAACGGGAAATAGCGGAGGGAGAGAAGGAGAGAGAGCTCCCCCTGTCTTCCTCGCTCCCCGTGGCTCGGAGAAGAGCCGCGGGTTTCCGCGATCTCCGCGATTTCCTTCCCCGTGTGCGGGGAAAATCTGCGACCGCGAGATTGAAATGGAAATCTGAAATTTAAATGCCGGCACATCAGAGAGAAAGAGCGCCGATTTTCCCCGGATCGAAGGACCCTTCTCGCCCCGAGGGGTTCCCCAGGGAATACGCACTCTCGACTCGCACTTCGACTCGCGAATTCTCCGAGATATCCTCGGGATATATTTCATCCGGGTCGCGTTTACGTCCTCGGATGTGCGCCACCGAGATGGTGCCCTCGCCCCAGGATTCCATTAAAAGGGCTGATCGTTTAAGGTGAAGTGAAACCCCCCACAAATCAGTCGATTCGAATAAGACACTTTTTTAACCCTTTGGCTCCCGACTAACCCTAAAGGCGCCCGACGTTTGGTCCAATATTGCCTGCACGGTCAGACGAATTTCGCCCATATGTCGAAATGGCTCTCTGTCCTTATAATGCCTCCGATAATAATCGATCTCCCTACACCATTAAAAATATTCATCAAATTCATACACTTTTGGTACATAAGATGGTAGAAAAATTATAAATTTCATGTCTGAAAATTAAATTTATGACATATATTATAAACGTTGTCGCGTAATCATAATCGACCCGATTTCCTCTCTCTGTCCTTATAATGCCTCCGATAATAATCGATCTCCCTACACCGTTAAAAATATTCAAAAAATTCATACACTTTTGGTACATAAGATCGTAGTAAAATTATAAATTTTACGTCTCACAAGTGAATTACCATAAATTTATGATAAACTTGAAGATAAATTTGTTATTTCCTAACATCATATTCGAAGTTTGTGAAATCTTGTAGAAGAATCGTACACTTGTGTCTTAAATTAATCATATATGTTATAAATGTTGGGAAATGATATTAAATTAGTATACCGTATTTGAATGAAATTTCCATGGAAGATTATTATATATATTTTTTTTAACAGTGTACATCTTTGATTCCAGAGAGATGGAGGCCGGTCTGAAGTGCATAAAGACCTACTCGCTTCGCTGTCTGAACCCAAAGAAGCGAGAGCCCTTCACCTTGCTCTACAAGGAAGTCAACATGGCGATCCTGGAGCTCTGTCACCCTGGACCTTACCAGGACGGTAAGTCGAGGACCTCCTCTCGCTACCCCTTCGGGATGCTGGGGATCGATCTTAGCTGGGGCACCATTAAGGCGCCTCTCCTTGTCGGAATCGGGGAAAGGGAATCGCGCGCGAAACTCCCGTAATCTGCGGGAGTGGCGAATGCATTATCGAGACCGAGTGCTATCGCTCAGCCTCTTCGGCTCTTCCGGTATCCTTGGACCAATCTCCAGGTCCTGCCGTAATATCAAATATCCTTGCGAGGCCGGGGACCAAGATGGAAGAGACCTCGGACGAATTCGTCGGCAGGGGAGACGGATGACGGAGGAAAGACAGTCGTGACGTTGGGTACCCCGAGAGAGAAAAAGTCACTTTCTGGAGAGAGAGGAACAATAGAATAGATAATAGTTAAGATGATATGAAAGGCGCTGAGAAATTTAATCGACGTCGATGAAATGAAATTCATGTGTACAATTTTTCGTGGTGATGCCGTTTAGAATACTCAAGTGGGCACATAAGCTGACGCGTCCCTTTACCGAGATTTATATTTATATTAACGTCTTTTACAGTCTACATTGAGAATTATACGAAATGAAGAGTTCCATATGCCATTACGGGGAAATAATGATGAAGAGATCGACGTAAAAATGTCAATATCCTGGGAATTCATTATTCTAACGACTGTTTAGGACTAACGTCGCCATCTGTGGCGTTTAGTTGCAACTAAATTTTTACTCGAAAGACCCGTTTTAGCCCCGGGACAAGCCAGCGTGCTCTTGCAATCGTTGGTGAAAGTATTTACCATATTTTCCCATGTGATTCTATAATATTCCATTTCTACGATATTCTAAATTGTTCGAGCTAGATCCTGAAACTCTTCATTTTTTATTCTAAGCCTTCAAGAGGCGTAAAACATCGATTCAATGAATTTTTATTCTTAGGGTAGATATATATTACTTGCGATGTTAATAAATTATAGCGATCCTAATGTCCGTTCCATCTCGATTGTGTTTTTTCAGCCTTTCTGAAACACGGCTATCACAATTACGTTATCACGATAGATATAAGAGTATGCACCGAGGAAAAAATACCATCAATCCAAAGAAATATTTCATTCATTAAAAGAATAATTACTCAACTGACGTAAACTCAAATAAGTTGAATGCAACGTTTCTTTAGAACCATGACAATTTATTTGAGTCAAATTATTCCTTAAATTAACAAAATATTTCTTTGGCACTGTTCAAAGAAATATTTTTTCGATTCGATGAATTTTTTTTCTCGGGGTAGATATGTATATATATATATATATATTACTCGCGGTGTTAATAAATTATAGCGATCAAAATGTCTGTTTCATCTCGATTGTGTTTTTTTTTTCAGCCTTCCTGAAACACGCGCCCTGCATACAGAAGGTCAAGGCTGATTACGAGCTCTGCTACGAGAGACATCAGGGGGTCATCCGCGCCATCGAGGCGAAGAATCAGACAGAAGGGGACCCCAACGAAATCGTGAAATCCGTCTGCTGGTAAGGACTCTCACTTCCACGGATCTTTGAGTTTCGTAACGTAAGACTGTGAGTAAAAAGCTTCTCCTCCGAAGTCGAACCATCGGCGGCTTCGAATTCCGCACTGGTAAACGAGCGGACGGAATTCCGCAGGAAGAGTTGGCCTTGGAAATGGAATTTTTTGCGAATCCTTGCCAGCTCTTCGACGCTTCGCCATCACCCGTAATGGTTCTCGCGAAATACAGAAACGGAGCGATCAAGGTGAAACGAAACCCCTCCAGAAATTTAATTGTTGTCGGTAAAACCAAATTCCTCTCTCTGATGTACGATCTGAAACAGAGCTCCATGTTATCGACGCTTTTATTTGTATTGATAGCAGTGTCGCGTTACATACATTGTATGTCGTTTTTAGATCTGAAGCAGTACCCCGTGTTACCGACGTTTATATTTATATTGATAATTGTGTCACATTGAGTTTTGTACAGAACGGCATATACTATATGTCATTTTAGTACAATGATTATAAAGATATCGAAATAAAACTCGAGAAATCTTGATCGTTGATGATAAAACCAAATTCTTCTATCTGATGCACGATCTGAAACAGTGCTCCATGTTGTCGACGTTTATATTTATATTGATAGCTGTGTCACATTGAGTCTTGTACAGAACGACATACACTATGTCATTTTAGTACAATGATTATAAATATATTCAAACAAAATTCGATAAATCTTGATTGTTGACGGCGAAACCAAATTCTTCTGCCTGATATGTCATTGTCATTTTAGTACAATGACTATAAATGTATTAAAACAAAATTCGATAAATCTTGATTGTTGACGGCGAAACCAAATTCCTCTGCCTGATATGATGGAATACAGTGCTCCATGTCACCAATGTTTATATTTTTATTGACAGCTGGGTCATGTTACATTGAATCTAGGACAGAACGACATACACTAAAATGTCGTTTTAGTACATTTATTATAAACATATTGAAGTAAAACTCAGGAAATCTTGGTCGTTGACGGTGAAACCAACTTCATCTACCTGATGCACGATCTGAAACAGAGTTTCATGTTATTGACGTTTATATTCATACCGATAGATGTGTCACGTTACATTGAATCTAGGACAGAACGACATACACTAAATGTCGTTTTAGTACATTTATTATAAACATATTGAAGTAAAACTCAAAAAATCCCCTGTACTCACGATTTTTAATACTCTGACTGCAAAGTTCCACCCTGCGCCATCTGTTGCATTACGTGCTAACTAAATTTTCTCTCCGAGACCACTTGTTACCTTCTTCTTATCACGGAAGACACTTTGTTTGTCTTTATCGCGTTTAAATACGCGTTCCTTGACTACCAGAGTGTTTTAAATTGTTATGCAATTATTCTGACCCAGTCGTTTCTCGCATCCCAGCCTTCAACAATTGTATATTGATTGTACTATGAGAGCACGACGCCAGTTTGGTTCTAGTCTAGGCGAAGTCAAAGAATCTTTATTGAATATCTTAATTTTGAAAGCATCGGTATATTCCTTAAGTACTTACAAGTTACGTGCTACAATTTTAACCTGTTCAGTGGAATACCCTTAAACAAAGTTTTATTTAAATTTACTGGTTTGGGGAGGGAGGAGATCTCACTTCTTAACGAGGAAAGTTAAACTACTTATAAATTAATTGACGCATTTAAGTTTCACTTTTTTTTCTTTTCGCCCCACAATTTTCGAAGATTTTTACATTTTATTGCGGATTCTTGACTCTCTTTTCTCGCTAGTGCGTATTTTCCATTTTAATCTTGGTTTCCTTTGAGCCTTGGAACGTTGTACGAACGACGTATAAGTATTTCCATGTTTACCCTGAATCTTACAAACTCAGTTTATTTTACAAAGCGAAGCGCTTCATTTAATTTGTTCTGTTTCTACTTCATCTCTTTGTTAATAGATGAAATTAAATGTTTTCTTTTCCACTTGAATAGAACGAGCACGCTTTGACGTAGAATACGATAATGTTGGAGGTACACGCAGAAAAAAAAAACAATCGGTTCATTGAACACAATTGTTCGATTGGCTGCATTTGATACACTTCCGAAAATATTTTGATCGAGTGATCCGAATTTTGGGTCACATGACCAAACATTTTCTTTCACTCAGCTAAAGCGTTTCCGTTAAATAGTTTCGTTATTTTATAAAATATTTTCTTCATTCCGTCAAATATTTCGGTTAAATCAAATTACTTTAATATTTGGAAGAGATCGATATTTGATGCGATCAACCAAACGTTATTAACGAAAGGATGTTGTCACGTCAATCTAATATCTGGTTGTCTATGTAATACCTATACTCCGTGGTTGAAACGTCGAAAATTTGGTTTTCAAAAATGTGACGATTGAGTGAATCCAATTTTAGTTCACTTTTCCATATCCCCACCTATACGATAACCACATCCTACGGTTGAGCCAACAAAAATGTTATCGATTCTCCCAAACATTTTCCTGCCTCCATTCAGAAGTATTAACGTGAAGTGAAACCCTCTTCAAATCAGTCGACTCGAATAAAACACTTTTTTTTAAGAACATTGAACCTAACAGTCTGAAACTTTGACACATTAGTCGTGAGTACCTAGGAATTATCCCGATACTTTTAAAATTTGGATTTTTGACAATAATTTTTTAACAACCCAGGCCAGAACCAAAACTGCGTCCAGCTCTCATATTTCGATCGGTATTCAATTATTGAAGGCTCTAACATGAGAAACAAAAGTGTCAGCATGATTGTACGACAATTTAGAATACTCTTGTAATCGAGATATTCCGATTTGAACGGGATGAAGGTAAAAAAGAGTATTTTATGCGCTTCTGTGCTAAAACGATGGTAATATGAGGTCTCGGGGAGAAAATTTAGTTGACATGAAAATCACAGATGGCGCAGGAGGTATTTCTGTAGTGAATCCTAATTTCAGGGCCTCAGAAACCATGAATCCAGGGGGTTTCTGGAGTTTTACTTCGATTTCTTTATAATTATTGTACGAAATGGAGTTTTACTTCGATTTCTTTATAATTATTGTACGAAAACGACGAATGGAATATGTCATTTAGTACAATACTCGGTATAATTCGACACAGCTGTCGATATAAAAACAAACATCGGTACCGTATTTAGAAAAATCATTTTTCCGACGTCGATCAAGTTCCTCGACGTGTTTCACTCCACCTAAAATCGTGTTACGGCATATTTTACATAAATTTTGCGGCAAAGTAGAGTCCTACCAATTTTTCATCGATTTCATTATAATATTTAACAAAAACGACAGATGGAGTACGCCATTTAGTACAATACTCGATATAATTCGACACAGCTCTCGATATAAAAACAAAAAACATCGGTACCGTATTTAGAAAAAGCTTTTTTACTGACGTCGATCAAGTTCCTCGACGTATTTCACTCCACCTAAAATCGTGTTACGGCATATTTTACATAAATTTTGCGGCATAATAGAGTCATGCCGATTTTTCATCGATTTAATTATAATTATTGAACAAAAACGACAGATGGAGTACGCCATTTAGTGCAATACTCAATATAATTCGACACAGCTGTCGATATAAAAACAAACATTGGTACCGTATTTAGAAAAAGGTTTTTTACCGACGTCGATCAAGTTCCTCGACGTGTTTCATTCCACGTTAAATTGATATAAAAGTGCGACATATACGTATCAAAAAGTGAAAACATTTATAAATCTTTTCCTCCAAACTGGGTGCACCGAATTATGTGAAACTTTAGCACATGATTATAGAGGCCCTAAGGAATAATGCGCTGCTGATGATATTTCTTTCGTCGAAAAAGATGTATTTATCTCGGACGAGAACCAAAAAAAGATATTTTTTTTCGAAAAATGAAATTTCACGGGCAGCGCGTTCTTCCTTAGAAACTCCACAATCACGCGCAAAAATGTTCGATAATTTCATGCACCCAGTTCGGATAAAAATTATATAAATGTTTTCACTTTTCAGTATGTATATACTACACTTTCATATCACCTTAAATCGTGTTACGGCATATGTTACATAGATTCTGCGGCTCGGTAGACACCTACCGATTTTTGATCGACGACGCACCTTGTCCGAGCCTTCCTTTGGAATTTTTTCCTCTTTGCGTTTAGTAGTTTATTAACAATTCCAAAATCCCACGACCCTGTCTCGGCCACACCTCGGGCTAGAAATACTCGGGCGCCGATCTCTACCATTTTTATTATCTTTTTTTTTTTCCCCACCTCTGAATCGATGAATAACAACGAGCAGGAAGCAGCTCGCTCGGCCGGTAAAATCGCAATACAGGTGTCGCCGGTCGGACAGATTTTGAAAACGCTTCGTCGCCGGTCCATTGCCTTCGATGTGTTTCGGGCCGAGTGCGTCGCCGGTAATTTTTCGGGCGCATTGTTATCAACTTACGGCGCCCCCCGCGTTGCGGGAATTACACGGAAATGCGATGAATTGCAGGTCGTTACGCGCCGGTCTATTCTTTCCGGGGCCGATAACGAAGCGCGGGAAATACCGCGGGGGCGGAATTTGCCAGGCCTCGAAATCGGGAAAAAATCGAGGAAAAATCGAATCTCGGTGATAAATCCATTAGCCCTTCGAGTTTCGCCCGGCTTACGGCTGCTCCGAAATGAAGTCGTCACTTGTAACGTTTGATAGACGCGCCTGCCAATTTTTTTTCCCCCCGCCGATTTCCCGCGAATCTGTCCAGCTTTTTTCCGATTTTCATTTAGCCCCTGTCCGACGAGGGTTTAATGTCAGTCGGGGTTTAAATCCTGGCGCTTTGTCGCCGACATAATCGCCGAAGGAAATTGCTCATTTTCTGTCGGCCGAATAGTCCGTTCACCAGGGATGGTTTTCCACCCCTGCGAACGTTTCCACTTCGTCGCGGTTGCACCTACCCTTTGGCTACTAAGACCGCGTGAAGACCCCCGACGTTTGGTCCAATATTGCCTGCACGGTCAGAGG